TGGAAGAACAAGGCAGAGATGCCTCCTCTGTTGCTCACGCTGCCTCGGTTCCTTCTGCTTCTCTTCCTTCTCTCCCAGGTTCCCTCTGAGAAGCTTCAGAGCTTCAGATCAAACATGTCGAAAACAAAAATACAGAGAGGGAAAGAGCAAGTGCTCACGAGAGTGATCCATCTGTCACTGGAATCTGGAAAAGAAAGCACACCGGAGACAAAATGAGGCATCAGTTGGAGGAGGTCTTTGAGATAAGAGTAGAGACAGCAAGGTTTCATGAGAAGAGGGAGATGATGGGGAAGAGACAGCATTATGGGGGAGGGCAAGCAAGGGAGGAGTGGGACTGCCTGCCATGCTGATAAGCCTTTCAGAAGGGAACCCTCACGACGTATAATCTCTTATCACAAGGGTACATAGAGGGGTACCTGGCTTCCCTTGAGTAAATGTGATCACAGCCAGGGACCTGGGGAAAAGAATCGGCAGGTGTCGAAGAGGAAGGGGAGGGAGGGGGGGAAACAAAAGGCTGTTAATGCTCAAAACTCCTAATGTGAACAAAGGCAAGCCCCAAGCACAGCCAAAGCCACAGATTTTCAGCTGCCTGAAAATGATGACCCACAATACACAAAGTAGGTAAACCGCAGACAAGCCTCCCCTCCTGAAAACAAACAAACAAACAAACACTTTTTTGTTTGTTTCCTTTCTTCCTTGATGCAAGAGGGATAAATAATTCAAGCCACGTGTAACTACTTGTGCTCTGAAAGCTGTTCCTGCCACTCGGTGCAGGGACAAGGCTGTTGAGGAGAGCCAGCCTGGCTTGAGCAGCCAAGGTGTAAGCAGTGTGTCAAGTACCAGCCTTGCACCCAGCAACGCCAGCAGTCCTGAGCTGGAGCACATCACCCACCTGCCCCCACCACCACCACCAAGGAGAGGTGCGCAGCTTCCATCTTCTTACTTTGCCACTTCTCCTTGGGGGCTATGAACACTGAGGGACAGGACACCTAGCAGGAATCAGGGGCAAAGTGACATTTGCTTCAATGTTATTTCTGGGCTCCAGGCAAGCTCCTGGTTCTGACTGGAAAGGACAGCCTGGAGCACCCTTCCTTCTGGCTGCAGTGTCAACTCTTCTCCCACTGTGCTGAGACAGGAGCCTGGCAGGGGTATCCTCAGGCAGCACAGAGGAAATAATTTCATACAGCAGATAAAACATGTGGGCACAGTGCTCTCTCTTTTTTTTTTTTTTTATTTTTTTTTTTTAGAAAGGGGTAAAAGGGTGTCTGCATTTCTTGTTAAGGTCCTGACTGTTCTAGAAGGTTCAATAAGCAATTCATAGGAGAGAAATGGCAACAACTTGAGAAAGGTTCAGATAAATGCCAGATGAGAAAACAATAAAAAACAGAGAAAGGATTCTTAGTTAATGAAAAATAAAGATCCCTCTTGCCCCTTTCATTTTGGGGGGAGGCTGCTCACTAAAGATATCGCCAAAGCTTTTGCTGCAAAAGCTGAACCAATTTCTAGCACAGAGACACAAAGGGCAGAAATAAAATGAAGGAAGATAAATGGAGGAGGAGTGAACCCTTGAGGAACAAGGCTTACGTCTGTGGAGAAATCTGAGCTGATTTGGGTCTGTGGAATTACCAGGCCAGCTGGATTAAAGGATCAGAGATAGTGTCACAGAGAAACACTTAAATATTCAATAATCCAAAAGTAAAGCCAAGACAGAGAAGGGGAGGGGGAGAAGAGCTAGACCAATGGAAAAGACAGAGAGAAAGCCTCTGTTCCTCACAGCTCATCATCTGAGGCCGCCAAACTCATGTCATTTATTGTTGTCATATGATGGCCTCCAGCTGCTGCCTCAGCTTTGCATCAGCCAGCACTGAAGCAGAAGGCAGAGGTTTTTACAGTCTGTTGCTTTGTTTCTCAGCCTTATAATCCAATAAGAAAAAATTTCCTGACACTGTCTCCCCAGATGCATCATACAGGAGGCACATCTGGCTCTCCACAGATTGGGACCCACAGGCCTTTGATGTTCCTCAGTGCCATTCCCCTTTCTTGTTCCACCTTTTCCAGAGGTGACTCAATGCAGAGATACAGCCAATCCCCCACACCATCCCTTTACCTTCCTCTCTAATGCTCCTTCACTTTACCTGGTCTCTTCCACTGAACAAGAGTGGCAGATACTATCATGATTTTTACACACTGGTGCCCAAAGTTTGTCCACCCCAGCAGAGGCCAGGGGCAACTCCTGAGAAAGCAGTGAAAAGCTCAGCCCAGATTTTAGCCAGCATCCTTCTCTGAGCATTACGCATTGGCCTGACTGTCTCACCTCACCAAATACCCTCTGTAATATCCAGCTCCATACAGCAACATTCCAGCCCCCTTGCTTTGACCTCTTCTAGTGGAGCAGGCTGCTCCAAATGCCGTGTTGAAGTCATCATTGCCTGCTGTAGCTTGTTCATGATGCACAGGGACAAACTCTGAGGCCAGGATGATGTTCCTCTGCAGCAGCCCCAGCAATTGCTGAGAGACACCCCATCCCACTCAGGGAGCTGCACTCAGGCAGCACAGAGACAGGGAAGGAGAGATGTCCTAGCAGATGGAAGGGAAGATGTCCTAGCAGCCTGGAAAGGAAAGAGGCGGCTGGGTTAGGGGTGGATGGAAATAAAGGTGGTGTTTAACCCTGCTATGTGTCAAAAAGAAGGGGATCACACATAGAAGACCTGCTTCCTGTCTACCTCCTTGGCTGTGCAACCTTGCCTCAACCACAGGCCAAAGGAAGGGTCAAGTTGTTCATCAAGCCAAATTCATGAGTCCTTTTTGGTCCCCAGGGTGGCTGTGTACAAGAAATATGCAGACCCTGCCATTCCTCCCCCAATGGCTCCCCTATCTTCTCCCATCTCCCTGCTATCACACTTGTTTTAAGGGCCCCAAGGCCAACCCAATCTATGGCCTTCTTCACCCCTAACCATGCCTTAGGACCCTATTTCATCTCAGCCCAGTGCCATAAGTCCCTGCTACAGCAATACCATAGGAATCCCAGTCTCCATCTCCACCACATCCATCCCCTGCCCTTTAGGGAGCAGCTGCTCCCTGATTGGCAACTCACAGGCAAGGGATTGCCAGGGATGGGGGCCAGCACCATGCCCTCCCTCAAATGTCAAGAGCCCGATGAACATAAATCAGATAGTGCTGGAGTCCAACAAGATAAGGAAGCAACGCTCTGTTCTTTCTGCTGGCCTGAAAGGTGCTGACAGTGGAGTTGGATGTTTCCCTCCCTTGGTTTTCAGACAACAGAGCAAGAAGTTGCAGGCGTGGAGGGTGGGCAGGGAGAACAAGGGAAAGCAACTCCAGACCAGAGGAGAGCCGAGGAAGGGACACAGGATCTCTTTCACAGGGCAGGCGCGAGGTCACCACCCCCATGGGCTGGGCCTACCCTGCTGTAGGGTTCCAACACTCTTCGGCGTAACCCAAGAGGGCTCTTACAATGTGCCTTTGGCTCCTGACCATCCTCACGTATGCAAGAGCATCAAGGAACAGTAGTGGCATCGTGCCCATGAATGGCTGTTTCCTCCTTGGCTGGCACAAAGTCAACCCATCAGCTTTGAGCTCCCAGCAATTTCCCTCTGGTTTATTCCCTACTAATGGATGTCTCAATGTTATTGACATTTCTATGCACCAGAGTGTTTGGAGAAGAGCAGAAGGCCACACGGATGGTTCTGCTGTTCAGAGGAGAGAGCAGGGAGGGTGAAATGGAGGGAGGAGAGCCCCAAAACTGAATCAGGAGCTGGATGTCCCAATAGCAACAGACAATCCTTTGGCTTGAGGATCAAGGTGGCACAGGGAGTGACACAGGAGTACAGTCACTAGTTAGGTATGAGGGCAGATTAAAATACCACTACTGAAAATGTGGACAGGCATGATATAAGGGACAAGCTGGGGGCTGAGGGGGTAGAAGGACCACAATGGAGAGAGGATACAGGGTCTAGGGGCCAAGGTGTAAAAAGGCAACTAGAAAAGCCACATATAGCGGCAATTTGGGCCTCGAATTCTGATCTTGTCAACCTTTTCCTCCTGAGGCCCAGCGCACTGGAAAAGCCCGCGCTTAATTCTACCACTGCTTAAATGGTGCTAAGAGCCTCCCAGTAGAAATGCATGCATTAAAAACCTGCCAAACACTCTTGGCTCCTCTGGGGACACCCCAAAACCAGGCCAAAGCTCCTGCTGCATTCTTATGCTTTGTGCTGCCGTTGGGCATCAGCGCTCTTCCCAGCTCAGTCAGCTCCCTGCTCCTGGTGGACCTCAGGGCACAAAGACCACCTCCAAGGGGCTCTGCCTCACCCCTCTTGAGTTCAAGGTCCTTCCAGGATTTCTCTAACCACTTCCCAAAAAAAGGGCCTTTCCCAGGGGTGCTTTGTAGTGGGAGTTGGTGCCTTACTTGAAGGAACTCTCCACACCTGCTGGGTAGTTTCTGTGACACACTGATGTGAGCATCACTGCAGCTGCTTCAAATCACCTCCCAGAGACGGTCCTTGCTTTTGCCCCCAGCTATAGTGAAAGGGCAGTGCCATGGGAGAAGCTCGCAGTACCCATGTGGCACTTACACAACAACAGCACTTCCCTTCTCAGACCTGCTGCTTCCAGGGATGCTCCCGTTTACTGCAGGAGTTACCAGCAAATCATGCAGCAGACAACCTGTGGCTGTGCCCAGAGGTCCTCCAGAAACCCTGAGAAGTTTGGGACCAAGAGAAGAGGGAGCAGGAAGCCTGATGACCCGTGGATTTGTGATATGGAAGAGTGTGTGTGTGTGTACGTGTGTGAGAGAGAGAGAGATGATGTCTTATACTGCAGTTTATCTGATATCCACCAAGGGTTGGGCTCACACAGCACTCTTTCCTTTAATGGGGCTCTGTGAGGGTTTCTCTTCTGCTTTCTCTCTTCTCTAATTTATCCCTCTATTTTCCTGAAACACATAAGATCACAGCATCTCTGAGATCCATCCCAATGTTACATTTGTTTGAAATTGGCCCTGTAGCTTCAAAAATCTAGAAGAAAGAAGAGCTGGCTTAGGCAGAAACATAAAAAGAAAAGAAAAAAAAAAAAGAAAGAAAGCTGCAGAACCACCCTAGAAAGTCATGCAACAAAAGGTATTTTCATGTCACTGCCCAAACAAAGCCTTCGTCCCTTGAACTGGTATCC